ATATATATATATGGAGATTATGTAGCTTTTGAAGGTAACCAATTATTGACAAAATGGTACCTAAGAGAACTTTTTCAGGAAAAGAACCAAACCAATCAAAGCTGAGGGAACAAACCAAACATGAACCGAGTATTTCAGGTTTACAACCTCAGTGAAAGCTTTGTGTGACCTGTCCAACCCTCCACAGAGCTGCAGACCTGTGAAACATGAGTTTCTAACTTAACAAGGATAATCTGTGTGTGAGTGTGTTGTACCTTCCACTGTGCCAGCAGCTTCCTGGCCGCCTCCGGCTGCTCCTGCACTCTCTCCTTGTTAGTGGCGTCTATTAAAACGTTGCAGGTGGTCTCAGCCTCCGTCAGCCAGCTGAGGAACTTCTCCARATCCAGGTAGAACTGCTGCAGCAGCTTCAGGGCTGATTCCACTGCTGCTTCCCTGTCTAAAACCCTGGACCAGCAGACAGATAGAACCAGGTTTACACAAGCCTCTGAGCTGGAACAACACACTTAAATTGTTCKTCTTTGCTGTGCATTTAATCAGGATTTTAGCAGAAAAAAAATAAATACCAAGTAAACACTACAAGGTGTTGAAAAAAAACTAATTACCTAACCCAATGAAAATTTTCTATAAATGTCTCAATCTGTCCGTGGTTCACGACATACTTTGCTAAATCTCAAACTCTGTAAAATGGACTATGTTGTAGATATTTTTGTATTTTCCAAAGGTGAAATGATCATATTTTTTTGCACTGACTCCAAAAGTTAACTAGATGTAGATACACTGTATATCAGTGATGTACTGCAGTGCTCTGCTATGGCTAACCAAAGCGAATGCATGACTTTAGCTCCGAAGCTAACATAAAAGATATAGTGTTAGCTCCGAGGCTAATAGACTATATATGACAATAGCTCTGGAGATAACAAATATGATGCTAGCTCCAAAGCTAATAAATATGACAATAATCCCAGAGCAAATAACTATGGAGTCAACTTCAGAACTAGTAAATATGKTGTTAGCTTCAGAGCTAATTTACTAAACATCAAGTTTGATCATTTCAACCCATATATTATGCAAAACAACATAGAAACTAATAAAAAATGTAACTTTATCGACTCACATTATAGTTTTTTTTGCCTTGAATCATGTTTTAGTCTCAACTGCCACCTATTAGATGTCGTCACCCCCAGTATGCATTGGGTCAGTTTTTTATTTGCAGTAAATTGATGGTTTCCATTGACCTCATCTATATATTGATAAAAGATTATCTAATGTGAAGCAAGATAAAAGCAAATGTGATCCATCCCAATAACAAACATGATGGTTACCGTTTGTTGATGTGCGTCCACGTGGCCGTCATGTTGTCATCAACTTGTGTGACTTTGTGCGTGTCATCGTTGGCGTACAGCGTTAGCAGTTTGTTGGCCAGCGCTTTAGTTTCAACCACCTTTCCCTGCCACTGCTTCAGGTCCTTCATGAAGAGCTGGAGAGGAGAAACAGATAACTATGGTAGCTTAAAATTCTAAACTAAACAACCAGGTAAGTTCTTACATCTCTTTTTCTAGTAACCATAGTCTGGATGTATGAGGGGCTGYTTAGGAAATAACTTCTTCTGTCAATCACAAAACGTTGTCTGCAAAAAACTAGACGTGAGACATTGCATCTCACTGACATGATTTGAAGTAGTCTTTATCGCATGGACACATTAGAGACAAAAGAGAAAACACACGGGGAGAGATCCTGGCAGTCACATAGAAACTGCTGTCATTTTACACAGACGTGTCCCTATGCTGTCCGGCTGAGGCACACTCTCTGGCACAGCTACAGAGAGCCGCCTGTGTCTCCACGCTGTCTCMTTCACAAAAACTGTCAAAACTCCTTCCACAAGTTTGTTGTCTATCTTTATCATTTTTACTGGAACAGTTGTAACAATAGCTGTGTTTTCCAGTCTCAACCAGGATTGACATCAATACTGACCTCAGAGAAGCCACAGCTGCTGCTAATGGAAAACCATTCATCAGTGTGCATTGCMWWKGCAATGCACACTACTGTGATTCGTTTCCCATCCAAGTCATCYCAACTTTGSCAYGCTTCTCCTCCTGCATACTTTGTCCTASAGCTGCCATTGTAATTTAWATCTGTAAAGCTCCTGTGCCAAATGATGGCTGTRCCATTTGGTGCCTGTAAAACTTATAGTTTTTGAAATATTAATGTTTAATAAATTATAATGACAGTCAATGGAGCCTTGTATTGGTCCAATACTGCCCCCTGCTGCATCTACACAATATGGTACTTCACCATAGTTTAATAGTATTTAAACTCAGTAGTTCAGTGATTACAACATTAATATGATTGTATTTTGATGTTTTACCGTAATACTGTCTTAATATTGTCCAATTGTTGCAATATATTGCAGTTTAGTGTCAAAGATTGCATTGGCAATGTGGCCTCTTTCTGCACACATACAAACCAAACCCTGGCACCACCCTCTGCCACAGCTTCAATGGTCTAATGGTCTATGCTATGAACTTTCATGTGGGAGATCAAGATTCAAAACCCAGCTAAAGCAACTTTAACAAAAAAATCTCTTCAAACTTCATATTGTCACACAATTACCTTAATTACAAACACCTGCTGACGTGACAGGCACAAGCTGGTATAGAAAACAAAATTGAACTTGGTCACAGTTCATGCTGCAGGGAAAGCCATGCTGCATTGCAATTCACACTTGTTTTTACATCGTAAAAACCCATGTCTAGTTTTATTCTATCTTTTCAAGACTGCATGTTTATCAGATACTTTGATAGGTTATTTATTTTTATTTTTATCTTTATTATATACTTCAGTATAAACATCCTTGTAAAACCAACAGACTTTTCTAAACAGGAGTCAGTGAATAGATGTGTAGCCCACCCTCAGATCAGCGTGTTGCCTCTTCAGAGCATCCGCCGTGTACGTGATCTCCTGCCAAGACTCAAGCCTTTCACCAGCCTGTCTGATGAGATGATCCACCTCCCTCTTGGCATCCAGCCAGTTTGTGGAGTCCTGCAGCATGTTGAGAATTTGCTTCAACCTGTCGGACAGTTTGGTTTGAGARTCTTCCCAGTGAGTCTGAAGCCTGTCAACTATGGAGGAAGAAAAGGAAGGAGGAGAGGGCACAATGCATGAATGTCTGAAAGCACACAGTACCTCAACATCCCCATAATCCTAATCAAGCAGGGTCAAGGAAAAAAAAAATACATCTACATCCAAATGTGATGATTCCARTGGAGGGCACAGCTAACCAGAAAATTAGCTTTGCTAACTCTCAATCCACTAGCTAAAAAGTTAGATACACAAACGCTAATTAAAAGAAGAAAATTACTGGAAGCTAACGCTAAATGAATGTCGCTAACTCAAGATCTCACATTTTAACATACACATATAACTCTATTAGAGTTACGCAGGTGGACTGGACACACAAAATGCTAAAAAATGCAAGTGTCCTGAGCTGCATGTGTGAAGAGATATTGTTTTTTGTTTTTGTTAGCAGACTTAAATTTAGTGGAAGTTAATTGATCCGCTAATTGTTTACAAAGTTAGCAAAGACACTAATTTGCCAAATAGTAAGTTAGGTTCACTATTAACTGTTAGTAAATTTGTGAAAATGTGCCGACCCTCGCCTATTTTCATTAAGTTTCAAGTTTTTTTTCTTAGCTTCAGCCTTGTTGAAATAAAAATACTGAAACTAGGATTAAACAAATATAGTCAGAGTATGACTCACAGTATTGCCACTCCAAATTTGATCTCAATATCTGTAAAATTGAGTTAYAGGAAATGTCAGTGGTGGGCACAGCTAAACAAAATGGGCTAAAAAGCTTTGAAATTTTCCTCTGGGCTTGAATGTAAAGGGTTTGTGTGTGTTGAGGACTTGCAAATTTGCGACCATTTCGGTGTGTTTTTTTATGTTAATTCTGTCTTGGAGTCCCCTCCCCCCAGAGACCAGATTCAGAAAAGTTTCTAAAGCAGGATGCCATTGTCACTTTTTCTGCCTCTTTTGACCCATCTGTCCTGGCWGATATTAAGCAACTGGATGATTTTATCCATTTATTAGACCATCATTGTTCAACTGTTTTTAATGGCTGTACTGTAACAACCACTAAATCCTCTGCTGTTAAACCACCTACTCCTTGAATAAATGAGACCATCTGCTCTGCTAGAYGCAACTGTAGGCAGGCAGAGCGTTTGTGGAAGTTATCCTGTTTAGAGATGCACAGGCTTCACCTTAAGCTGGAAAYATACTCCCTRTGAACTGCCGACGTCGGCGCGGGTTGTCGCAGTTTAATGAYGAAAATTACGTCACCAGGCTTCGCAACGTCGTGTCGACAGCCCGTTTTGGCACAAGCCCCCGGCAGGACTTTTTGACCTCCCTCCTGTGTCGACGGTATTGTGTGATTGGTCTGAACTGAAAGCGCTCGGACGGACACAGCAGAAGAAAAAAACAAAAACTCGCTTCTGACTAGAGCAAACTGTTTTGAGCAGTTTTAAAGATAGACAAACCAAGAAAAACTCATGCGTGTTTGTGCTGACAGCRCTATGCGCTGCATTTACTTCAACCACTCAGTAAAAAAAAAAGGAAAAAAAAAAAGACTCGCTCCCCGAGCCGACCAGGAAGCAGAGTTTTATAAAGATAGTCAAACCATGAAAAACTCATGAATGGAGATAGACATAACAGATAAACAGGCACGGAGGAATCTGAAACTGTGGAGCTTTTTAACCAGGACAGATGTGGATAAATACGTCGGGTGAGTGACAAATCTGACATTTTTTCTGCATTATCGGCTGTTGCGGGGGAACTCCATGCAGTGACGTATGTTTCAGGGAGTGGGGTTTCCYGAATTCGGCGCGGGGGTGTCGTAGGGACCATGAAAGTTCTGTGCGAAAACGACTGCCGAACAACCACATGACCGCGCGTCGACCCGTCGGCGTCGGAGCGAGTACGTTCCCACCTTAAGAGATCTTAGATTATCACTGCAGACCATGATGAAAAATRCCAGGTCTCAATACTTTGCCCAGTTGGTCTCCTGCTTTAAGAAAAATCCCAGAGCCTTATTCGGCACCAACACGTTGGTTTCTCTGGTCGTTTCCCCTCCTGCCGCCTGTTCTCCTGGCAGTCCCAATAATTTTCTAACACACTTTGTTGTCAAAATTGAGAACAGCCGGCGCAGCATTTTAAATCAGCCATCTCAGGCTCCATTTCACTTAAACACCTGCCCTGAAATCAGTTCACACCGAACGCGATTTCAGCGTCAAAATTACATCCAAAGCTTCAAGTTGGACGCTTGTGCACTTTGAGGTCAGACGCAGGTCAGCTCTTGAAGCGCTGCATGGCAACAGCCTCCCCGCCCCTCCCTCCTCTGTCGGSCTCTGTTTAATGTCGGACGAGGAAGTGGCTTTGCTTTATTTACAGAGAGCAAGAGCATGTC